TCAGATAGCGAAGTCTAAAATAAGTTTACATAATCAGATAGCGAAGTCTAAAATAAGTGAATGGTGTTACATAATCAGATAGCGAAGTCTAAAATAAGTTTACATCAAGAAAAATCAAAACACAATTCTTGTAAAAGTTCAATTTTCTTTCCCAATTATGATTCATGGACCCAAAGCCCCCAATGTTTCCCAATTATATATCTAGGAAATGTGTGTATGGCTTGCCAGGAAAAGAGTCATTTTTGACAATGTTTTAGCTTCGGGTAATTGGGCAAATAATGGGCTAGATCAAAATGGCAAATTAAACTCTCTTGCTTCTTATTTTCCTACCAAGTTTTGGGTAGTAAATCCATCAAAGGTCTCACCAAAACAACCTCTATGTTCTTACACATGCATCTTGACCCCCCCCCCCCAGTTGGGATCATACTGGATTTGTTGTTTTTGTATATTGTTGTCCACATCTCCGATGGAGCCAAAATTTCACCATTTTTTGGCTTTGGGGTGTGATGGAATAAATCAAAATGGATCTCTAAACTGTCCGCGCTTCTTTAATTAAAGAAGTAGCAGTTAGTCAAGCAATGCAACTTTCGACGTTGAGCCGGGGGTCTCTTTGGAAACAGCCTCTCTACTTTCGAGTAGGGGCAAGGTCTGCGTACACACACCCTTCCCAGACCCTACTCTTGTGGGATTTAACTGGGTTGTTGTTGTTGTATATTGTTGTCCACTTTTCCTGTGAAATTTATGGTTGTGGCTGGCAATGGAGTAAACTATGACTACCCCAAGTTTAATGATCATTGGTCCAGCTCTTGAAGCACAAATGCAATCCAAGAATATTCAAAATTAGAATTTCACCCGCAATGAAACCCACAAATAAACACATTTTGAATTATGAATCATTGAATTGTTTTTAGAAAATGCAGCATGTTCTTGGCATGATTAGAGATCAGAGACTGGGTCTTAATCCAGGTTGGATCATAGCCAATGCTGGAAATCGGTATGACTATCTGGAATTTCCATGGCAATCTTAACCTGGGCATTGTTTGGAGTCTTAAGCATAAAATCCGTGGCAGATAACAGCTAATGCTGGAAACCGCTTCGTCAATCTCGCCAGATTTACAAAATCTGTCTATAAGAGCATTGAAATTCTCAACAGGAGGAGAGCAACCAATACTAGTTTCTCCATTTCATTGAAGACAACAGTTGCCTCCCTCACCAAACCATTCCTGCACACACCACAGTTGAGGAAATTAAGTTGTGGTGTAAGTGTCAGGAAAACAACCATTCTTTGACAACGCTAGCCGGAGATATCTTGCTTCGTCAATCCTACCCAGACTTAGAGAACCCATTGAGCAACACATTGGTAAGTTACATGATATGAAGTGTAACCTCTACTCTTCATCAACTGAAACAGCCAATGCATGCATATCATTTATCCTCTATGCCAGACAATAGCGGTATAAGTCGTTCTACTTGGGCTATCAATATCCCTCTTTCACGCATTTCATCGAACAGTTTAACTGTTTAAGTGCGCCCAATGTATTCTCGCTCTTATTGGCTCTTTGGCCAAAATTTTGACTTCAACGTCTTATTGTACACATTGACATATAGCTAAAAAAACTACACCTTTCTGAGCCATGATGCGAAGAATGGAAATTTACGCACACGAATTAGCTTTGCACTCCATAATCGAAATCTCTCGTTTGGTCAGCAATGGCCATTTTTGGAACGGCCCGGTTCCATGGCCACTGGAATCTAGTGGCCACGGAAACCACTGCCCCGCTACGAAACTCCGTTCATAAAATTGATGTTTCCTACCCCTCCTAACCCCCCAGTAAACCCCACCGCCAAATCCCGACCCAAACTCATCACCCCACCTACGTCAATTGCACCTCGTAAGCATAAAGTCAAAACTTTTGACTTTAAAGTCAATTATGCTTACGAGGTGCAATTGACGTAGGTGGGGTGATGAGTTTGGGTCGGGACTTGGCAGGGGGTTTACCGGGGGGTAGGGGGTAGAAATCATCAATTTTATGAACGGAGTTTCGTAGGAGGGCAGTGGCTTCCGTGGCCACTGGATTCCAGTGGCCATGGAACCGGACCGTTTTTGGAATATGAGATCACATGGGGGTGGACGGTATTTAGCTCGTACTGATATCATACCAAATATTTTGATTCGGTATGAATTTTATATTGTACCGATCTCGATCCTAAAATTTCAGTTTTGTATGGTTCGAGATGATTCGGTATCGGTTTTAGTAAAAATCAAAATAAATACATACACACCTAATTCAAACTTTAAATGTCACAAAACTTTTTTTTTACAAAAAGTATATTTAAATAAAGAAATAAAAAAACTAAAAAATTAGAATTTAAATGCAAGAAATGCTTATAAAACATTGTTTATATTTCACAAACCAAAGTTAACGGATGATAACAAAATGATATTTCTAAAAACGTTTTATATTTTTAAATTAATCTACAAAATATCGAAGTAAAACTTAAATAAAAGTACAATGTGCAAAAAATAAAATCTGAACCAAATTTTAAAAAATAAACTTATTGTTTATTGAAAAATATAAAAAGATTGTTATATTTATAATATATTAGTGTATATATATTCGGTTCGAGATATTCGGTATGAGAAGTTAGCTCGTACCTTTCCCAAATATCGAACCAAACATTCGGTTTGATACGTTTTGGTATTTTAGCGGTATCTTTTCAGTTTGGTATTTTTCGGTTCAGTGTTCTCAGTTTTTTAGAAATTTTCAGTATCGGTTCGGTAGAGTACATGCTCACCCCTAAGATTACATATCAGAGATGTTTTTAAAAGAAATCATTTCAAATAACAATAAATATATAGAATTTCTTCTCAAAATAGGAGTTTCCTAGTTTTATTCTAAAATAGAAGTTTGTATTGTGATATTATAGCATTGTATAATGGTACGGAGTATTTTATTTTATTTTTTTGGTATTACACTATTACGTATTGACATTTTTGATATTGTAAATTCTATTTTGATATAAAAACATAGAAATCTTATTTTGATACGTTTTTCATGTTTAATCCTAATTTAGTCATTTTCTCAAACTTTAAATATCATTACTATCAGATCAAATCAAACCAAATTAGATCAAAGCTTTTTCCAATTAGATCAAGTGAAGAGAACAAGCTCTTACCTTTCAATAGACCGAGATCATCACCATGAAAGCATCTGGATAAGTGGGCATTGTCCAATTCCTAAATACTCCTAAATTCGATAAATAATAACACCGATGCTTTTAGAATTTTTATACATTTATATCGCTCCTTCAAGAATTTATATATGTTTATATCTGTGCTCCAAATATTAGGACACAAATGTTGATGTTGGAGCACCAATGTAAACAAATGTTTTCTTGATTACTTATGTATTCCTTCTTAAAATTGGTAACATAGATTAATTTTCATTTTTTAATAAGATCTGTTATTATCAAATTCTATCACGGTATCAAAACAGAAGTTCTTCCGTTTATGCTTAATACTCCTTCCGTCCATTAATTCCTTTCTCACTTTCACTTTTGGGCCGTCCGAAAATTTCTTTCTTGTTTCTTGACTTGACAAAATTTTTAATGAATGTGACGTTATACCTACACAATAATGAGTGTGACAAAATTTTTAATGAATGCGACAAAATTCCTTTCTCACTTTCACTTTATCTACACTATTCACTTTATTTCATTATATCTACAACATATGGAAGGTCTTTACATATTTTAATTTTTTTAATTTCCGTATAAAGTCAAATCAGAAAACAAAATTTGGATGGAGGAAGTATATTAATAGAGCAATGCTAGGGGTAGACCAAAAGTGTACCCCAAATGTACACCACCAATTTTTATTTGATTTTTATTTATTTATTTTTGAATTTCTTACCTTTTTATGTGAACAAAGAGGGAGTGGAGGACATATGGGGTATACATTTGGTGTACTCCTAGCATTTTTCATATTAATATCATGTGCATACCTTAGAGGGAGTAAAACATATCCGAAGTTAAATAAAGTTGTAAGTAACATTTCAAAAAACACAGATTTTACTTTTTTTTTTACCAATTTTAAAAAGCAATTTGGACTCAAAATAAAAAATAAAAAAACAATTAAGATTCCAAAAAAAAAGTTATTTAGACTTGTAAAATAAGAGGGCTGCCAATAATAAATAATAGACCTACCTCCGAATTATCTTTCCACCATGATTATTTCATTTATTTGGCTATTTTTCTAAGGTTAATAGTTATGACTTAGGATGAGATAAACTTTCTTATACTCTATTGATAAGTATTTACTTTTTTTCTTAAAATTTATTTTTTTAAAATAATGATTAGTATTTACTCTTTTTTTGAAAGCATAAGTATTTATTTAATATTATCATAAATATTTATTTTTTAAAATGTCTTAAATGAGAAAGTTTATATATAGGAGTATAATTTCTTTCTTTTTCCAAACCATGTTACCCCGGAGTATTTTTTTTCTTTGATCATTGAACCTATCGACGGTTGAAATTGTGAGGCAGATGTTTAAACAAAAGTAGATCCTCCCTAAATATTTCTGTCATTATTTCTCAATGTCTCAACTCGATCAAATGTTTTTCCCCTTCTTTTCATAGTGAGCATTTTTTTTGGCATAGTTTATTTTTTTCTGCATCTCTTAATCCCCAGTATTTGCAAAACCATACACTCCATATTTCTTCATCTTAGCCTTCTCTGTCAAAGTCCAAAAGCTAGCAAGAAGGTTTGCATGAACAATGGCACTCTTCAGCTAATAAGCACTCCATTTATATTCAAGAATGTTGCTTGTTTGGTTGTACCCTTCATTCATTCACAGCTCTTCTTGTGATCCTCTTGTTTGGCTCATCAATTTTCAGCATTGATTTGGCTAAGGAAAAAAGGGGTTCCAGTTTTCTTGAATTACAATTGATTTTATTTCCTGGGATACTTATTAACAATAATAATTATTGTTGTTGTTGCTTAAAGTGGTGGGTTTTCTTTATTATTGTTATCTTTAAACTTTGAAAAATATTCCAATTGGGTATTTTTATTTTGGGGCGTTTACCCTGATGGCACCATTGAGAGGGTTGAAGAAGAGGAGAAAGGTGGAGAAGAAAGGTGAAGATGAGGAGGAGGTTATAGCTGCAAGGGATGGCTCTACTGATTGGTGGGCTTTATTGTCCAAAAGGGTTTCTGGTAAACTGCTTATCACTTTCATCTGCATTACAATGCTGGTTTTCTTGAGCTTTAGTTTCAAAGACTTAATTTTTATTTGTTTTAATTTGCAATTTTCTTCAATGGGTTGGTCTATGTTACTGTGTATCCGGATCTCTTGATTAATGAAATCTTGATTTGTTTAGGTTTCCCAGTTTAGGTTAAGATCAAAGTAGCAAACTTGGAATCCCTTGGGTATAGTAAACTCATTGAGTGTTCAATTCTAAAAGTTTGCCAAAGAACAGTTTTATGCCTAAACTCTGCCCTTTCTTCGAATATTAGGAGGAGCCTGGATTGAGAATTGAGAGAAAGAAGGGCAAAAGTGGAAAATTAGCATTAGATGCTTTTTTTTATTTTGTAAAGTCACACTTTTTTGTAAACTAAAATGTGTACTTGTTTTAACCTTTTGTTTTTAACTGAACTGTCAACATATGCCAAAATGTTTTATATAGTCTTCTCCCTAATGGTGTGCTGCTGCTATGAAGATTTTCAGAGTTAGTAATGATCTTTAGAATTTGAAACATAATAAGTGTAAGAAGAAAAACATGAAGAAAATGGATAATAATAAATGTAAAAAGGAAAAAAGAAGAAGAAGAAGAAGAAGGGTAAATTCTTAGCTGTTAGGAGTAATATTTGAACAAAGACATACTTTTGGTAGCTGAGTTCTTACTTAGCTATCAATGTGCCCATCTCCAAATAGAAACCCCTAAAAGATTAATCTGTATATCACCTTTAAAGATAGATTTTCTTCTTCAACAGTTGTGCAAATTGCTACAAGATATATATACATAGTCGGGCGTGTTTGTCAAATTGTCATTGCTTTTACGAATCGTCGCTGCTGAAAAGTTCACATATCAGAAAAAGAAAAAGTCCAGTTTTGAGTTTTTTTGCAGAACGCCGTTTCAAAAAAAGCAGTTCGCATTGGAAATAAGCTGCAGAAGTCAAAAGTTGGGATGAAAGACAATGGCAAACACATAGTGAAGAACTTGGGATTCTAGAACACATTGTAAAAATTCTTAAAGATTGTCGATGATTCGCACCAGGTCTACTAAAACCAGATAGGAGTAAAGTTATGTCTTTTGAGAATTACTAGATTCATGGCCAAGGACTTCATTACTCTCAAGTGCCCATCCACAAAGGAATATGAAGGAAATTATATGATGGGTAAAGTGGGAATAAGGGATAGCTTTCATTTATAATCAACATATTTCCAGTGTAATTCTTAACAAGTTTTGGCTCTGGTTAACATTATGGAAAAGTGTAATTATTTTGAACAAATATTTACTCTTTTTTTTTGTTAGTTTGAGGTGCATCTTTCATCTCATGCCGATATGTCGCTTCGTGTAGGTAGCGTTTCGCCCTCAAAGGGCATGGACAACTTCCAATCTATGTTCAAGATGTCAAGAACCACATTTGAGTACATATGCACACTGGTGAAGGACCAGATGATGCCAAAGTCTGCAACTCATCATCTCCTCTTCACAAATGGGAAGCCAATGTCCTTACACGAACAAGTCGCTCTGGCCGTGCGAAGGCTGTGCTCGGGCAATTCCTTGATAGTGGTCGGGGAATCGTTCGGCGCGCACCACTCCACCGTGTCTCAGGTGACGTGGCGCTTCGTGGAGGCCGTAGAGGAAGCCGGGGCCCACCATCTCCGGTGGCCTTCCTCGAACCCGGAGATGGACCGGGTGAAATCGAAGTTCGAGCAAATCCGAGGACTTCCGAACTGTTGCGGCGCGATCGACACCACACACGTCACGATGTTGGTGTCGTCGACCGAGCGGACTGCTGACGTCTGGGTCGACGAGATGGGGAACCACAGTATGGTCCTCCAGGCGATCGTGGACCCCGAAATGAGATTCCGCGATATCGTGACCGGTTTGCCGGGGAAGATGGACAACGCGTCGGTGCTACAAACGTCGGTGTTCTTCAAACTCTGCAAGAAGGGCAAGAGGTTGAACGGGAAGAAGGTGAAGCTTTTCGGAGAAGCGGAAGTGGGGGAATATATAGTCGGGGATTCGGGCTTCCCCCTTTGCCCGTGGGTAATGACTCCGTACCACGGGCAAGAGCTTTCGGGACCCAAAGCCGAGTTCAACAAGAAACTTTACGCAACTCGGGTTGTTGCCCGGAGAGCGCTCGCGAGGCTGAAAGGTGTGTGGAAAATGATTCAAGGGAACATGTGGAGACCAGACAAACACAAGTTGCCAAGGTTTATACTTGTTTGCTGCATTCTCCATAACATCATCATTGACATGGAAGATGAGGTTTTGGATGATGAGATGCCTCTTCCCCGCCATCACGACCGCGGGTATCCGAAACAGGTTTCGGAACCCGTCGACGAAGCCAGTTCCGTCATGAGGGATCATATGTCCGCATATTTGTATGGAAAGAAGTTGCATTCTTGAATTGGCAAGAAGAAGAATCATGAGCAGCATTTGCCAAGATGTCCTTTGTAGTTTGGTTTTGTTCCTTTTCTTTTTTAGCTTTGGATGTTTGTTTGTTGCCTTACCATTCTCTACATTTCCAAACTCCAATAAAACCTGTCATTGTTTTTGGGTCATTGCTTTATATTTTTTGTCCTTTTCAGTCTCACTTATTCAACAAAAAAAAAAACAGAAAAGTAACAAGAAATCCAGTCGTTCAAAAAGTGGAATATTTGGAGAGAGTAAATTCTATGAATGACATAGTTTCAATTAATTTTCCATATATTAAATAATTGATCCTCAATTTTTAAAAATTATTACATAATCTATCCTTCATGGACTAATTCTAGAAAACATATTGTCTTGGCCTAAAGGACTATTAATGAAATAGTTTTTAAAAATTGAGGATCATTTATGTAATATCTTAGAGTTAGAAATTAAATATGGGAAACTAACTTTAACTAGACACCATTTATGGAATACACTGAATATGTAAAACCACCTATAATTTGGAAATAAGTATCCAAAAGTTTGAATAAGGTAGCAGTAGAGGGACCAAAAGTAGAATGTTTTCTATTTATACACAACACACTAGCTTTATGATGATGAAGTTAAAAAGGAGTTAAGGTTATTTATCACAAGGCAAGACTAAAACCAACTTGTGTTTACACAAAATCAAGAAGTTTTGTCCATGTAAGACATGAATCTCTTGATCCATTTTTCCTTTACAGAGTCTGAGACCAGTGTATCACCAATGAAAGGGTTCCATGCGTCCCCCTTATGATTCGCTAGCACCCAATTGACTTTGGACGGTGTCTTACCAAACAAGGGCTCCTCTCTAGATGCCTTACTCCTCGGCGCTGTGTTGTGGTGCAGTTTGAACATCTTCGAGAGAGGAGCATTCTCACGGTTCAATTCACTTAAGTGTCTCTGAACAGATGCCATAGACCGAAATCTCATGCCAGTGCCGGGTTCGTAATAATACTAGCACCCAAAAAAAGCAATGGGAAAGTTTAGGCCTTTGTTCTGTAACCAATGCACAGAAATTTCATCACAAGGGTAATTAGAGGAGAACCAAAGCATACCTTATCTATGTAGCTCCCGGTTGCGCGGGGTACCTCTTCTACTCTCCAACCATCAGGAAGCTGGTTGGTATCTGCAATATCTTCCCTCTTCGAAGGCACGATTGCCCAATGGTTCGGACTCTGTTCTTCCTCATCCCACTTAAGCATCTGCACGTATTGTTGTGTCCCATCAATGGCTAGGCATAAATAGTTGAATATGTTGATTTTTTTATATAGGAGAAGCATTTTTGTCAAACCCATTTCACACAAGCAAGCAACTTACAGCTATTTATTCAGCCTTTGGCTACAAAGATGCTACCAAAAATAGAACCACCGTCGGTTTGGTTGGAGGGTAAGTCTTTGGGGGACTTTTTGTATATTTATACTTGGGGTTTCATGAAATATAAAAGATTAACATAGCAAGTGATCATACACCATTTCAAGGTGTAATGGAAACAACCTCTGTTTTTACAGGGCTAAGGTTGCATACAGCTTGACATCCTAGACCCATGGGAGTTGAGATTATACTGGGTTTGTTGTTCTTGTACAACACTTCATTTGCCTTTTACTTGTTTTTGGAAACATTTTATCTATCAAGATCTCTGTTTGTGTAGTGTAGTTTAAGGCTTTCCAAGGTATTCCCCTCCAAAACGTTCCAACCAAGCTGATCCTAAATGATTATTTGCTGAAACCTTTGCCAATGATACTTTCAATTGTCTACTCATGTGGTAACAAATTGATTAAATCAAGTTTCATGGTACTCAAGTAAAACAACACATCAAACAATCAATCACCAATCCAATATTACCTTTCCACCATGAATAACTGTCTCCCTTGGAGAACTCTATCGGAAATCACAAGAAGAAAAATAAAAACAAAAAACACACAATTGCAACAGCTGGGAATGACGTGTGGACATAAACTCCTAACTGTAAATGGAAGAATTCAAGCTACGGAAATTACCTCGGGATGATTATCTGAACTGGATCTATAAACACGGCTAACTTCTTCTCCGTTCACGTGCCTCTCAACATCTTTCAGCGACCTGAACTTCGCTCCTGTCTCCGGCTCGAAGTAATACTGCAACAGAATTAACCTCGTTTCGTCAATCGCTTGTCCGATTTCTCGAAACCGTGAAAATACTACCCTAATTTCAGGCAAATATGTATAGATAGAGAGAGGGGAAAGTGAGCACCCTGTCGAATTTAGAGCGATCGGAGCGAATGACTTCCTCCACGCGCCAACCGGCGGGGAGACTGAACCCGGTGTTGGTGACGAGATGGGCCGCCGGCGTTGCCGCAACCGCTAGTTGACGTTCGGAGCTGGAGCTTCGGTTCCCGGTCCGGGGAGGCTTCCGCTTTGATTTTCGTTTCGCCATGGCCGGCAAACGCGAAACTAGTTGTTAGAAAGTGGTTGGATATTTTGGCTTTGGGCTTTGGTGAGTTTTTTAACTTGTGGATTTGCCTCAAATGATACTCCATAGTCCATACTTCAAATTTACTTTGTGTCAAATTAACCACTCTCTACCAAGTGATCAACTTAGAACCTACTACTTCCGTCTCACTCTTTTTGTCCAGTTTTGACTTTTGGAACTGTTTATCTAAGCACTTTGACTCATCAAATTCTCTTAACATATAGATTATTGATATATAATTTTTATAATTTTTTAATATATAAATTACAAGATAAAATGGATTAAAGAAGTGCATTGGATGGTGTGCAAAAATTAAAGTGGACAAAAAGAGTGGGACGGAGGGAGTATTCTTTAAAATTTAAACTTTTAAATTTCATTTTTTTTAATTTTTTCTTGTTTCTTTTAGGTTGTTCCAGTTTCTTTTAGTTATTCTCATTTTCTTCAAATTTTTTCTACTTCCTAACCAATTACTCTAAAAATGATATATTTTTAATTTGTTGTTGTTATTATTATTACAACTGTTATGTTCATAAATATAGTTTATAAATTATTTTTTCATCTCACTATTTTTACGATTCATACTCATTATTTTTTCTTCAACTTTATAATATGAATTATACAATTTTTTATATATTAATCAAACAAAAAACACCAATATTTTAAACCATATTGAAAAATTATGGATAAAATAGTTACATAAAATGTTTTATTAATCTAACGACCCCTCAACTTTCTCTTTATTACTCAAATATTTCTCATTTTTCTAATTTTAATAAAAAGAAATTGAAAGTCAAAATAGTTTAGAGAAACAAGAATAAAATAGGAGTAAAAAATAAAAAAATGTGAAAAAAAGTTCTATGTCTTTGTTCCAAATATAGGAGTTACAGTGAAAATAAAATGTCAATCAAAAAAAGAATTTGTTTGGTTACATTATGTGACATGTCTTGATATTTAAAATAAAAATTTTGTTATATATAAAGTATAATTACAAATATATTATTTACAATAAATACTACTCCCTCCGTCCTATAATGATCTTCCCAGTTCATTTTACGAAGTTTGACTGACTTTATTTTCAATTCAATTTATTTGAATGTAGGTGTAAAATTAAAAAATAAAATTTATATATTTAAAAACTACATCAAAAGTTCTACAAAACAAGTGGTGACAAGACTATATTATTTTATCAAATACCTAATGAAAATAGGTAAAGAAAGTGATTAAAGTTTGACCGGGTAAAAAGTGTGTGGGAAGAACATTATAGGACGGAGGGACTAGGCAGTACATAAATAAATTGATGTGCAACATAACCAAAATAACTTTTTTAAAATTAAACATTTTGATATTTATGCTAACTTTATATTATAATTATTTTTTTGCAAAAATGGTTTTTCTAGTTCCTTCCAATCCTTCCACTTTCTTCCAGCTCTTTAAGTTCCTTCCAGTTTATTCGAGTTTTTTCCAACATCTAGCTCTTTTTTCTAGTCCTAAAGAGCATGCTCTTAGTCATAACTCTAATAAAAATTTAAGTATATACGGAGTATAAAGTAAGCTAAAATAAATAATTCATACAAGTATTAAAATTAGATCTTAATGCCTTCGTCTCAAAATAAATTATCTGTTTATTGTTCACATGATCAAACTTCATTTACTTTCTTTCCCAAATTGTGTTAGTCATTTAATAAAATAATATAGTCATGTTACTATTAATTTTGTAATTCTTGTGATGTAAATTTTTAAAAATGTAATTTTTAGTATTTTTTAATTTGGCACTGTTTTTCATATAAAGTGATTTGAAAATAACTTGAGTCAACATCGTTAATCGAAATAGATAATTTAAATTAGGACGGAGAGATTATCTATTTCTATAAGAATATTTTCATTATAAAAAGTGTAGTATTATATGGGGTATATCATTGTTTTACAATACTCTTGTTTTTTGTTTACTCCCTTCGTCCCAGAGTATTTGTTCCCACACCATCCAATGCACTTCTTTAATCCATTTTATCTTGTAATTTGTATATTAAAAAATTATAGAAATTATATGTTAATAATCTATATGTTAAGACAAATCAAACAAGATCACACATGAATATATTTAGGCTTACACATTGAGAGAATTTGATGAGTCAAAGTGCTTAGATTAACAGTTCTAAAAGTAAAAAATGGACAAAAATTGGGAGACAGAGGGAGTATTTGTTTTGCCTCGACACAAATAGGTGGTCTCATAAAAAAATTTCCTTGAAAAATCCTCCCACAAAAATTCCATTGGTCAGATTTGCTTCGAGCAAAGTTTCACCATCATTCATTCATCACTCCTTCATTAGCTTCTTCATCTATCATACATAGAGTATCTATTACCTGATCCATCAATTATTCACGGGAGAAACGAATACAAATGATTGAAACTGATAATATAATTATAATTATTAATAACGTTTCACTATACTATTATAAAGGGACGAAATAGTAATGGTTAGAAAACATTTATTTTGTATAATAATAAGGTTTAATAGTAATGGGACGAAATAGTAATGGTTGATGGCAAT